GGGGGATGTCGTTGTCGCTCTGGTGGGATCCCACCTGGCCTTGCACAGAGAGCTGCCACTCTCCCCAGGAGAGCACCCGGGAGGCTCTTGGTGGCTTTGGGCTCTGCTGAAGGGTGGGAGGGCTCGTCCCTCCGTCGGGCAGGGGCAGAGCAGAGAGGCTGTGCCACTGCCATAGTTTCCGTCTGAGGCATTTGGATGTTCCTGTCTTCTTTCCTCAGTGCTGCCAAGTTTGCTTGATAGGCTGGGAGACTCTAAGGACTCGGTGAGGGAGCAGGATCAGACCTTGCTGCTAAAAATCATGGAACAAGCTGCTAACCCTCAGGTATGCTCGACAGCCCTTAGCAGCGTGAGTGACTGACTGACAGCTTTAAAGAGAGAACTTCTTTCTGTCAGAGGGTTTTCTCCTGTGGCTCTGTGTCTGAAAAGGCTTCATCTCCATACGCCTCGTTATGAGCTATCTGCTTTGCTTGAGAATGCTGTTGCGTGTCAGGATGCACATGGGAGTGTGAGTGTCGGTGGGTTTCCCCAAGGATGGGCTGGGTGGGTGCCGGAGCAGTTGTTCAGGGTCTTTGGAAGGTACTTGCTTGCTGTCAGCAGAAGCATTATTTTAGCTAGTGGGGAGGTTCTGTGAAGGCAGCACACAGCAAAGAACTAGATCTAAAAGTGTCTTTCTACTTGCTGTCCTATTCTGTGTGGACGGGTGTAAAGCTTATATTGAAGCTCTGGAGGTGTTACGGTGTATGTCTGCTGGAAGAAAGAATCTGTCTCTTCCCCCACCTCCCTTTTTCCTGTCTCACCTTCTTTTGTCTTCCCCAGTACGTGTGGGACAGGATGCTGGGAGGATTCAAACACAAGAATTTCCGGACGAGAGAAGGGATTTGCCTCTGCCTTATTGCAACGCTCAATGCGTAAGTCGGAACCTCCTGCAAACCCACGTTATGTACACAAGCCTGCTGTGTGATTCACACTGCTTTTTTGTTCTTCATTCCCAGATCTGGAGCTCAGAGCTTAACACTGAGTAAGATAGTGCCACATATATGTAACTTACTTGGAGATCCAAACAGCCAGGTAAGCTTTTGCTGGGAGTCACGTCTCAAGGTTGTGCTGATTGCGTTGTTGGTGAGCGGGGCTCTGCCTTCGGGCTGGTAAATTAGGGAATTGTGCTGCTGGTGGCGAACCCTGAACAGTGGTGTTCACGAAGAGCCTGTGGCTGGTTTTGAAGAGGTGTGATTTGAAGTAGGCCTAAACTAGCACATCAATTACTCCAAGAGTTCCACAGAACAACATGAATCTGCAGATGAGGTGAACAGAGCAGGAAACCTTTGTGGGAAGGGAGCGCCTGTGCCTTACAGCCCGAATTCAGGGGATGCTGCAGGGATCCCTCTGGGCTCAGTGTAGCACCCTTCACCCTCGGAAAAGAACCAGTCTGGGTGGGGAGGGCGAATGGGACCAGTTGGACAGCCTGGTCACATGCACTGCCAGGAGGTGTATGTGGAGATCCTGAATACGGGGTGGAGGGACAGCAAGCTGTATAGGAACCTTAAATCAGCAATGCAAGACAAATGAAAATACATGGGATCACAGAATGTTTTAGGTGGGAAGGGCCCTTAGGGATCCTCTGATTCCACCCCCCCTGCCATGGGCAGGGACACCTTCTGCTAGAGCAGGTTGCTCAAAGCCCCATCCAACTGACCTTGAGCGCTACCAGGGATGGGACATCCACAGCCTCTCTGGGCAAACTCTGCCAGAGCCTCAGCACCCTCAAAGTAAAGAATTTCTTTCTTGTATCTAATCTAAATCTACCCTCTTTTGGTTGAATTTTACATGCCAAAAACTCCTCTGTTACTTTTGCATACTTTTTGTCTTGCCCTGGACAGGACCTAATCTGAAATTAGATGCAGGTATGGGAGGTTAGTGAGAAGAAAGGGACAGGAAGCAGGGTTCAAGCTTATGTCAAGTAACATGTGTGCGAGCAGTTTTTGAGTATCCCTGTTGCCCTCCAGCATGGGTGACACACATGTCAGAGGGCACCAAGACACGCCATCCCTTCGCGCTGCCTCTTCGGTGTGCCTGGCACTGCTCGTTACCGCAGCACCCTGCTACAGGGGGAGGTGAGGAGATGAGGCTGATCTCTTGCCCCTTCTCCTGGGTCTGGTTCCTCTTCCCCGGGCAGCCTGTCCCCATGCTGCTCGGACGAGGGTCGCTGTCACAGGGGGTCCCAGGGCTGCTGCGGTGCTGCCGGAGCCTCCGCCTGGGCTCCGGAGACCCGGTGCTCGGTCACTGCTGTCCTTTCTTGGCGAGAGGTGATGGAGATATGCTCATCCATCCAGGTCAGCCACGCTGCTTATCCCTTTTGTTGTGGGCATGGAAGCTCTTCCATTACTGCCCTTTTCAGAAAGAGTGGTTTTGTTGTTTTCAGCTAGTGCAGTCGTGTAACCCAGTGAGCATGTGGTATGACAACAGTGAACTGAGACCATTTTCCCAAAAATAAAATTGAGCGTTAAAGCTTTGTTATTGCTGCAGTAGGCTAAACCAAGTATGATAGCAGGGGCTCCTTGCCTTACCCAGTACAGGATTTACCCAGTCCTGCAACCACACCTCTGATTAACCTTACGCACGGAGTCAAGCCTTCCAGATCACGCCGCGAGGACCTCTGTGCCGTGGCTGGAGCGGGCAGGGGCACAGCAGAGCGTGTTGGCCTGCCTGGCTGCCTTATCCCCGCTGCCGGTGTGTGTTGGCAGGGAACGAGGGTGGGCCAGGGTCTGCATGTCCAGGAGCTGGGGACAGCAGGGTCCCTCCCGAGCCGTGCCCGGGAGCTCTGCCTGGTGGTGTGCGGGGCTGGGGGGCAGGTGGGAGGGAGGCACGGCTGCCCAGCGAGGGCTGGCGTGAGTGAGGGCAGCGGTTTGGAAACTGGCACTGACCCGTTGGATGGGAAGGCTCCGGAGCGGGAGAACGGGATAAGATGAGTGTTAGGCATTTTCTGGCTAGGAAGCGGGATACATGTGCCTGCCTGTGGACTCCCACCTATAGGCGGTTCTAGCTTGTGCCCACAAAACATCCTAAGTCTGGTCCCGATGTGTGCGGGTGCTTTGGTAGCTTCCAGGCCATCTTCTGAGAAGTGCGTGGCTCCATAGGTATTTCTGTCGGCAGAGCAGATAGTTTATCTTCTCTGCCTGCTGTGTCTGGTGAAGGAAAGGGGGTTCAGTACAGGAAGGAGACGCTTCAGTCAGATTTGTGGCTCTTCTGTTTGGTGGAGGGAAGGACGTGCTTAGCAATTTCTTGCAAATCAGTTTGGAAAACATGCAATGTTCATGGTGCCTGGGGTGATTGATTAGTCCTCCCTCCATATTTGGTTATCAACACAAAAGCATATGCTTGTAAGGTGGCATTAAAAATCATTTTGTTTTATAATGTATTAGCAATATAAGGTCTGTGCATGTCTCCCTCCTTGCTTTTTTTCATCCAGTAAATAGACCTGTTGCACACAGTGACTGGAGTTCAGCAAAGGCAGCCGAGCTGCCCATGTGTCGCTATGTATGAAACCTCTCAGCTTACATCTTCACTGCCTTTTTAATTAAATTAGACCTGCTGATACTGCTAATATCTGAAATGCAGGGATGGAAGCTCTTTCATGAACTCTGCGGTAATGTGTCTAGTGGCAACTGTTGTTGAGAAATATGCAAGTTTCTTTCTAAGACATAGAACAGGGATTTATTTATTTAAATTATAAAGATGATTGATTTCTCTCATATCTCTCATTCAGGTTCGAGATGCAGCAATAAACAGCCTTGTGGAAATTTACAGGCATGTTGGTGAACGTGTAAGGGCTGATCTCAGTAAAAAAGGATTACCCCAATCTCGGTAAGTTGAGAGTGTCCTTATGTCTTCACTATTTTTGGGCTGCTTTTTATTACCTTCTTTCAGAAGCTGCATGGTTGAATTTTTTCCTGTGATCAAGGTTTGTCTTTTTTTGTCCTACGAACACTCAGGTTTCACTTAGTGTGCATCCTGTACCTTTGCCCAAGTATGCCACAGCGTCTTTGAAAAAAACAATAAAATTATTGTGGATGTGTAGTTAACTGATTTCAGGTTTAATATGGTGTTTTTCCTGTATGTTCTGCATGCGTGGAGAGGACACTTCAGAGTAGCCTGTGTTTATGCAACTTAGAATGCTGTCATAAAGAGAAAAACCCACAGTCAATATCATCAGTTCCAAGGCTTCATTTAAAAAGCTTCATTTAAAAAAAAAAAAAACAAAAAAACAAAAAAACAAAAAGCCGCACCAAAACCAAAGCCCCGTCCCTCTGCTTCTGCCACTTTGGGTGCAGTAAGAAAGCTGCCCTGCATCTTGCCACAACCCTCAGGTCGCGGGGTGAAGCACAGACCTGAGGATGGAGTAGCTGGCAGTGTGTCAGTGCCCAGAGGGAGGAGGAGGCTGCTTCGGAGGTGGGGTGCACGTAGGGGGAGGCAGGGCTGGTGCCTCTTTTTCTCCACTGGAAACATCTGCTGCCATGACGTGGCTGAAAGTAATAAACTCTGTGGAGGAGTAATGTGATGTGATAAGGATCTTCTGCTCCACCAGGCCTGTGACACGAATGGGAAAGCAGTGTCGGCCAAAGACAAATTGTAGAGGTTTTTTTGGGGGGTGTTTTGTGGTATTTCGGCAAAGAGTTAAGATAGGCAAAGTGGTAATGAACTGGGAGTGCATCTACAATTAGACATGTCACATCACCAGTAATGTATTTCTGATTGTATCTCTTACATCTCTCTCGTATCAGTTGCTCAGTTTTTCATATCAGCTGTTGCATGTTGTGATTATTTTTTGAATTTCGAAGTGACTTCCCTCCACACTGACATTTTTGACAGTGCTCCCAATGAACTGGGTAAAGCAAAATTTGTCCTATAGCATCTTAAATTAGAAGATTCCTGCAAATCAAATTCAGCTGTTCATTGTGTATTTCTTTTAACTTTCAAACAGGTTGAATGTAATTTTTACGAAATTTGATGAGGTCCAAAAATCTGGAAACATGATCCAGAGTTCAGGCGGTGAGTAGAAGTGCTTGTATTCTCTTTTTGGTGTCTTTAGCCATTTTCAGTTGGTGAGGTGTTCAAACGGACACAGAGCAAGCATTCTGTTAGGGAAAGCAAGTGTGGGTGATTGTTCAGAAGTATGCACGTAGCTTTTGCAGCAAAGATGATTGGTATTTAGTTAGTCTGCTGTCTTCCTAGTAGTATCAGAAGGAGAATGAAGCATAAGTTGTGAGAACAGAAGGTGTTTTTAGAGCTGTCCTTCTTTTCCTCTTGAGAGTCATCAGGGAAATACATATTTCAAGTCCATGCGCGTCTTTAAATTCTTCATAAGGTAAAACAAATAGTATTTTAAGAGAAGAAGCCTTTTCAGTTTAATGCCCTAAATAGCACAGAAAGTGTACATATTAATGTAGTAGTGTTCGTTTCAAGATCATACTATTTCGGGATTGTGTTTTGCAGTTACTAAGTTTGTGTACTTTGTATGTTTGTGGTAGTCAAAGACCCTTATCAGAATCTTAATTCTGTCTTGTCTGAGACTAATATTTTGTTTACTTGAAAACCAAGTGATTTGTTACTGCTTTTGTTACAGATAAGCTTCTGAGCTGGAAAGTATTTTTAATAAGTATCGCTCATTTTTTAGGAATAGCTTTTTGAGAGAATTCTTGGTGAGGGAATTCATCTTTCTGCCAACAGCTGAGCAGAGCAGAGAACAACAACACGAGTTCAGTGCTGCAGGTTCCTATGAAGCTCGCACGCTCCGCAAGGCCAAGAGCAGGAGAGGTGATGGCCTCATTCTTCCCCACCGTGCTCTCAGAAGCCAAGAGAGCAGACAAGTCTCTGCTCTTTTAAATTGGAAGAAAAATCTTTTTCACTTGTTGGCACCATTCTTCTTGCCGTATCCATTTTAAAATACAGTAAACTTCATCCCTGCAAGAAATAATAAAATTGACTTATTTGAAAATTCTGAAGTTATATTTTGGATTATTCAGAAATGTGATTGATATTCTCATGTGTGTTTGGGAATGATGAAGACCTAGTGCAGGTTCCTCTGAAGGAATGGATTAAAATTATGCTTTGGCATAGAGTGGGCTGCATAGGTAGATTAGACTTACAGTGACAAAGTGCAGTTGAGAAACAAATGTCCTTGTACTTTTTGAAAAGGGGGGCAAGTAAATATTTAATCCCTTAGCAAACTTCTTGAGGTTTACAACCTCTAGGTGTTCTGAAATCCAAACTCAAACTGAAACAAGCTGACCTCTGATACACCTTCTCTGCTTTCCACTTGGATAGGCTAAGGTAGAATTTTTGTTTGACTAATAGTGGAATAGAATGGGCTTTCACACGCATCGTTGTGTTATGTAGATGGCTGCTGTCTGGAGCTTGAGGAGGCAGACCTGTGCTCTGCAGTGAGATATGTGTTGCTACATCGTCTTTTTAAACACATACTCTGGTGAGGTGGTGGCTGTGGGTGGGATTTCTGTTGGGTTTCTTCTCTAGGGGGAGGGGGAAAGATGTTGGAGCTTAATGTGTCCCTAGCTAAATTTAGAGCTAAGTTTACAGAGGGTTTTTTCTGATCCAGATGAAGGTGATCTTAGTGGAAAATCAGGTATGTCACAGCTGATTAGAAGAGTATGCAGTATGAAACAGGTGAGATACATGTAAGAATAAACTTCAGTGAAGAGCAAGAAACGAGAGTTAATTTATATGCAAGTTTTAGCTGTGCAATCATTTTAGCATCCACGTGTCCCAGAACAGCATGGGACATCACTTGCTGGTCCCTGGGTTTTGAGAGGTGGTTCTGGTCTCTAGACTGAACATCCTAGCACATGCTGTGATGTGATTCAAGGCTGCTGGCACTGTGGAAAACATAGAAAAAGCAAGATGGGACCATGGGAATGACCTCTTCTGGACAGACAATTCTTAGTGCCATCTCTTTCCAAGAAAGCAAACCACCTGTTTTAAAATTGCCAATGGAAGGATTCCATAAGAACACTTTTTTTTTTATATAAGTGCAAGTAAAGCATCTACGTGTATTAGATCTGCTAGTTTGAGGCTTCATTGAGAATTACTTGTAATACCCCTTCCTCTGTCACTGTTTTGATAAATTTGAAGATTTAACTTCCTCGCATGTGCAGTGTCTGAGACCTTGCACGCCCCATCTCCTGTCCTTGACTCCATCAACAGGATTTTTGTGCTTCCAGACGCAAGTACTCCTGCCTTCCTCGCTCCGCTTCACCTGGTCTGCTGATGTCTCGCTGTCCTTGCTCACGCTGTGGCTGGATGCAATCCCTAGAGCGTGTGTGTTGGCATTTCTCCTCTGCTGAATCTCCTGTGTGGACATTGAGACCAAGTAGCAGCCTGGGGGAAAGGGATTTGGGGAGAGTGGAGGAGCGTTAAGGGGTCCAAGAGAGCAAGGTGTGGCAAGGATAGGATCTCCCATCGCTCTGCCAGAGTCTTTTCATCTTCCCTAATAATAGAATAGGTCTGTGGTTGCATGAGTTAAGTTTGAAGTAGTTCTCATTTGTGAAGCTAACAATGAGAAACCATTATTAATATCTTTTCTCTATGTGTCTGGGGGGAGGGTTCAGCTTCCCATAGTGTTACAGGCTGGTTTGTTCCTTCTTCCTCGCCCTCCGAGCACAGCACGAATGCAGCATCTGTGCTCACCGTATCTCATGCGTCAACAGCTCTGTGCAGCTCTCAGTTTATCTTTTTGAGGTTGTGTAAGCCAGCGGAGGAGGCTTATCTTCACCCATGGTCACAAGTTTGTTATGACCTAAAGACAAGCGAAGTCTGTCGGGTTTCTTGTGTCCCTGACACCTCCTGCAGCCGATGAACAAAGGTGACACTTTCAGTGGTTGTCAGTCACCAGGGAAGACGCTGATAAACTCTGCGCATCCACAAGACTCGCCTTTCTTGGGAAAGAGCCGTCTCGGTCTTGTTAATCCTTCGAGTCCGGCAGAGGACGGCATTGATTGTGAGGATGTCTCTCCGTTCCCGTTAGTAGCACTCCTTTTGGATGGTCACGCCGCCAGGCGTTGCCTGTAGCGGTGGTAAAGTGTGCAAACACTACGAACGCTTTAACCTTCACGTTGTCGGGCCTGGATCAGGTGACTTCAGGCAAGATGGTGGAGTTATACTCAGTCTTAAATGCTTGTGTTTGTCTTTCTCTATAGCTAGCGCGTACGATTTCGAGCTCTGTGCCGGCTGCATGAGTTTCTGGGAGGCGGAATGGCGAGTGTTTATGCAGACTGCAGTCTGTAAGCCCTCGGCAGCGTAGAATGGCCCTGTGGAAGGAGCAGGCTCAGCTCCCTCGCGCTGGGTTTTCTGCCCTGCGCTGCTCCCCGTGTTGGGTGCGTACTGGCTGCAGAATGGACCTGGCTGAACAGGAACACGCTTCGCCCCTTGGGGAAGGGCTTTCTGTTGTTTAGGGTTAATGCATGGCTTTGATATGGAAGGGTTAACTGAAGCGATACCGTGACTTCTCAGCTCACAAGCAAAGATCAAGTATTAGCTTTTTTTATGTGGATTTATGGGTGAGTATGGTGAATCTGTACTTCTCAGGTGGGTAACCACGAGCAAGCTGCTGTTGGCTACAGTGTCACTCGTAACTGAGCCCTGGCCCAGGAGCGCTGGAGTCGTGCTCAGTACAGTAAGACTTGAACGTGATAGTCAAACCTGAGTTACTGCAGAACGTAGCAGTACTGGGCAGGTGGGAAGGCAACTGCAGCTTCTAAAGTGGTGAAATATGGCAAAAGAACTGGTGAAAGAAGGAAGATGACTAAAACTGGTCTCTTAGCTCTGAGACTCCTGTTTGGGAAAAGTCTCTTCTAGCAGGTCACTGAAGATGCAAATAAAGGAAAGCAACTGCAGCAGCATTTTTTGTGTATCGGGAATAATTTGGAGAACAGCGAGTATGCTGCAAAATGTTGAAGATTCCTTAATGAATGCTTCCTGAGACGCAAATGAGGTGAAAACTCTCAAGTGTACTAGAAAAGGTGGTTAAAATAATGGGGCATTTTCTGATCCCATGAATAAATCTAATGAATTGACTCTAGTCAGAATGTGAATTTTAAGTCTATGAAAATAATTTGTATGTTTTATGTTTACTTACCTTTCTATATTGTGTTTCATTAGTGCTTCTTTGAGTTTATCTTCAATTGCTTGATAATTTTTTTGGCTAGGCTTTGTTTGTATCGGTTAGTAATACAAGAATCAAATGTGTAGTGGGGTGGAGGAGGTTTGCAGAGTAGTCTGAGGTGTGTCATTAAGTCAGAGGGAGGTTTTGGCATGCTCAAGTATGCTCCTTGTTGCTAGGCTGCCAGCAGCCCTTATAGCTAGAATATGAAGTTAAAATCCACATTGAATTTCTCGATGATTCTCAGTGCATCTCTGTTTTGTTATTTGGCATATAATTAGTCAGCCTCTTGAAGCAAAAATTACAGTTTTTCCCCCTTTGGGCTTTCAGCAAGCTAATTATTTTTTTTGTAACTGCTTTTGCTAATTATGCAGCTGCCTTATTCCCCTGGGACAAATACATTTTCAGCATGAAAGAGTCGATAATTGCCAGCTAGTCAGCTGCTGTCTTCATGTGGCATTGTGGGATGATCTTTAGCTGGATGTGACACAGAGAGGGGCTATTGGACATGAACAGAGACTCCTAGAAATTCATGCTGCATGGGTTTCCTTGGTATTGTGTCTGGAAGGACCTGGACATAAAGCGTACAGTTTTTCCATGGATTTGAATTGACTTTGGGTCAGATCTGGACTCCATAAGACTTTATAATCAAGTCTCAGGACACATGAAGAATGAAGTAAGTGATCTACTGAGAGATACAGGCTAATAGAAAATGATGACCCAGACCAAAGCTACTAGTAACCAAAACATTTCAGTGTGGTTTTTACGCTCTTGATGATTGCGATATCATAATATGACATTCTTTGATGCAAACTCTCCTTTTCTTACACAAGTCACATAATTTTTGGCAGATGCTCCTACAAGGGTGTGTGCAGGG